AGAGCACAAGCAGGGGGAGTGGTAGAGGGAGAATCAGGCTCCCCGCTAAGGAGGGAGCCCGCCTTGGGGCTCAATCCCAAAATCCTGGGATCATGACCTGAGCTGAAGGCAGACGCTTAACCGGCTGAGCCACCCAGGCACCCCAAGAGATTGAGTTTTAATCTGAATTTGATGTAGAGAATGCTGCTGTGCTTTGTTAGGGTCTTTGATAACAATGTTTTATTACCTGTATGATATTTTAATTATATGTACTTTTGCCTCCCACTGGTAACTAGAATTCTTGTGAAATGATATGGACATGGAATGAAATGTCCTTTTCTCTTACTTGTGTCTTACCTATGGGCACCATTCAGAATAACAGTTGACTGCTACTCCTGGCCAAGAGCTCTAAATGGCTGTTGATAGCATTAAGGTATTGGTTGGCTGGTTTGGAGAAAAATAACCCTATGTATTCAGATTTATAAGGACCATACTAGCTCCTAGAAGCCTTGGATGCAGACTAAAACTATCACAGTCTTTTGTCTTTCCTTAAAGCAGTAGCAGAAGTATTTCAAATGCTGAACGGAACCTTTCACTGCCAACATTACTCTCTCCTACACCTCCTTTTGCAGTATATAATTTTCCTTTGATTTGTGAGAGATTTAACAAATAGCTAAGTATCAACCTGTAAAAGTTTGGGAACTTTGAAACACAAAATTGATCTGTAAGCATATTACACCATATCCCTCCCCCCATACGCTCTACTCTCTTACGCAGGTGAGTTTAATGAGTAAATGGAATTAATCCCTCATTTTACTTGTTTTTGCAGTTCTTGAAATATTTCTTGTTTACTCATTTATGCTAAATTAATAAGAGCAGATGTTGAGGTTCTCCTGATTTTTTTTTTTCTCCTATCAGGAAAAATACTTTCCTTAGGTGGAAATGTATAAAGAGGGTTTCAAAATCTACAGAGCCTCTTTAGGAAGGAAATTTGATCATGTAAAATACGCCAGAATTAGGATGTTTCCATTTCTCTTGGTTTTCTAGACCGAAATTGAAAAATTGAGCTAGTGAGATTTAGCCTGAAAGTATTATTTCTTGGTCCTGGCTATGTGATCATTATATGGAATTATGATATTTAAGTACATTGAACTATGTATCTAAAAATGATAGCAAGATTCAGGTAGAATGTACATTATATTAGGAAGGTGTCTTAGATACCTCATAGACCCTTGAGTTCTAAAAGACCCTAAAGATCATCTGGCCCAACCTGATTCTTTTATTTTTATTTTTTTATTTTTTTAAGTAGGCTCCACACACAGCGTGGAGCCCAATGCGGAGCCTGAACTCACGACCTTGAGATCAAGACTCCAGCTGAGATCAAGAGTCAGATGCATTATTGACTGAGCCACCCAAATGCCCCTCATCCTGATTCTTTCAGGAGACTCTTACATAAAATTTCTGTGACAGATGGCTCTCTAGCTTTCCATGAGCTATTTTGAGAGGCAGCCTGTTTCATTTTGGACATCTCTAATTATTAAAGTTCTTCCCCATTTTTGATCCAGGTTTACCTGTGCAACTTTTTGTTGTTCCTAGTCCCATTCTTTGGAGTGATCCAGAGTAAGTCTAATCCTTCTTGACACTGGAAGATAGGGATAGCTCTTTATGCCCTTGTCTTCAAGTTAATCCTTCAGTGTTCAGATTACATGGCTAATTGACCCCTCCAGAATACAGCTTATTAGAAGTCTCTCTTACAATACATCCTCCTTAGAAGAATTCTACCACTGTACTGGGAAAGTACCTAATATCACTATAATCTTTTGTGAATTTTTATTTTATTTTATTTGAGATTAGTTGTAACTGATGATGTTTTTATTTTGAAAGGTTTATTTTCTATTTCTATTAAATTCACTATTTGTCTTTGTAGGGTTTTAGTCCTTTGGTCATTCCTCATGTGGTATTTCTGAGTTTATGGGTAAAAGTCTGCACTGAGCAGTCAGGAGGGGCCAAGTTGTTGTTTTATTTTTGTGTTTTTGTGCTCATCAGTATGATTTACATTCCTAAGTTATCATTTTTTGTGGGGCGTTCTGATTGGATTGGGGCTGGTGGTGCGGCCCGTGAAAGAATTTAGGCAGACCAGAAGAGGTAGAAGTTTATTGAGTACACTGCAAGGGAGTAGTGGACAGGACAGCAAAAGAGAGACTGTCTGCCAGAAGGCAGTGGTGAGAGTTGATAGTTATAGGTTGGTATGAGAGAATATAGGATGTATGGAATTACACCTTGTTTGGTAGTCTTAAGAACTGTGCCTGGTTGTAAGTGACCCATTGGTTGGTTAGGGCCTGTGGCTTAATGAGCCTGTTTGTGTCAGCTTGGTAGTTGCTGTGGGTCCTTTTGCCTTGCTCAAATTTCCATTGCTCAGGCCTGTTGCCTAAAAGCAGCCTCTACAATTTTGGTAGTTGTTTACATTTAGCTTTGTAGTATTACTATTTCATGTTATTTTTACTTAAATCTTATTGCCAACAGTATTTTCTACTCTTTTCACGATAAAACACAGAAGTCTTTCATATATTTTTGCAACGATGGGAGGTGTTTCATGTTTTTTCTAATTAATACAATTCTTAAGTTTTCTTTCTTTTTCTTTTTCTTTATTTATTTTTTATTTTTTAAAGATTTTATATATTCATTTGAGACAGAGAGAGCACAAGGAGGGGAAGAGGCAGGGGGAGAGGGAGAAGCAGACTCCCTGCTGAGCAGGGAGCCTGATGGGGGGCTCAGTCCCAGGACCCTGGATCATGACCTGAGCTGAAGGCAAATGCTTAACCAACTGAGCCACCCAGGTGCCCCTCTTTTTTTTTTTTTAAGGTTTTATTTTTAAGTCATCTCTACACCCAAGTGGGACTCGAACTCATGACCCCCTGAGATCAAGAGTTACACACTCTACCAACTGAGCCAGCCAGGCACTCCTTAAGTTTTCTAAACAGAATCCTTTTAAGACATAAAGACGAATGGTCCTTTAAAAGGTTTTATTTTTTGGGCGCCTGGGTGGCTCAGTCGTTAAGCGTCTGCCTTCAGCTCAGGTCATGATCTCAGGGTCCTGGGATCGAGGCCCGCATCGGGCTCCCAGCTCCGCGGGAAGCCTGCTTCTCCCTCTCCCGCTCCCCCTGCTTGTGTTCCCTCTCTTGCTGTGTCTCTCTCTGTCAAATAAATAAATAAAATCTTTAAAAAAAAAAAAAAAGGTTTTATTTTTTTATGAGAGAGAGAAAGATAGCACGAGCATGAGCAGGGTGGGTGGGAGGAACAGAGGGAGAGGGAGAAGTAAACTCCCCGCTGAGCAGGGAGCCTGAATCCCAGCATGACCTGAGCCAAAGGCGGGTGTTTAACCGACTGAGCCACCCCTCTTCAAGACCTTTTGAGCACACACGTGCTTTCCTATACTTGTTTCTTGGTTGTTGTTTCAGATGGGGGAGATACTCTATTTTTATTCTAATTAAAATTTGACTCCCGTCCTAAGAATTTTTTTAATTAATAGTCGTCAGTATGTTACTGAACACTACTATATATGAGATGTTTTGCTAAACACTTTACTATATATTATCTTATAAGTAAATAAATTTAATAACAACTCTGTGAGTTAGGTACTACTGTTATTCCCATTATACTGAAGAGGAATTTAAGACAGGTTGAATAATTTGTCCAAGGGCATGCAGCTGACAAGTGGCAGAAGTGAGACTCAGACCCAGGCAGTCTGACTTGTGGAGCCTGTGCTTTTAGTGACTGTATTTATAACTGTTTACTTTCTGATAAAACAAGTGTAAAAGGGCTGTCTTGTGTTTTTACTGATGTAGCCCTTTCTATCAAAATATGCATGGAAGATTTTTGTTTTTAAAATATTTAAAATATTTAAATATTTTAAGTGTTTTAGGTCTATATGATTTAAAATGTGCAGTGTCCCCCGAGGCCACAAATAATTACTAGATATTCTGACTTTAATTTAGCTTTCATTTGGGACCTCATGGTAGAATGATTTCTGGGGAGTTATTCACTCCTAATTTTTATGCAAGAATCACCTCTGAAGCCAGTGGAAATACATAGTACCTGAGATACAGTAGACAATTCAACGACTGCATCTCTGATTATGTGGGCAGCTTATATGAAATCACTTATGGCCAAGTGTAACCTTTTATATTTCATAATTTCACTGCCTGTAAGTTTGGGCCAGAGGTTCTCAAAGCACCCTGTGGAGGTCCCTGAGAATCTTTGAAGAAGTACATGAGGTCACAAGTATTTCATGATAATAGTAAGATATTAATTTTCTTTTTCACTCTCAATCTCTCACAAGTTACAGCGGGGTTTTCTAGAGGCTACATACCATGTTATACAACAGACTGAATGTGGAAGCAGATCTGAGAATCTAGCCATCTTCCATTAAAATTGCCATTCTCCTCACTAAATTTGTATGATTTCGGAAAATATGTTTTTCCAAAAACTATTACTTACATTATCATATAATGGGTTTATTGTTTTTAAAAAAATGAACAAATATTTGGAAATTCTTTTATATTTGAGAGAGAGAGAGAGCATGAGAGAGAGGGAGAGAGAGCACGAGCAGGAGGGAGGGGCAGAAGGAGAGGGAGAAGCAGACTCTTCGCTGAGCAGGGAGCCATGTGGGGCTGGTTCCCAGGATCCTGGGATCATGACCTGAGCCGAAGGCAGACACTTAACCGACTGAGCCACCCAGGCGTCCCCATTATTTGGAAATTATTAGTTTGAGCTTCTCATTCAGTAAATATCAATAGATAGACCCCATGTAAACAAAAGCTCTTTGGGGGTCGTCAAAGACTAAAGAGGGGTCCTGAGACCAAAACCTCTGAGCACTTCCTGTTTAGATTAGTTGTATCATATGATATTAAAGAAAATCTTGATAGAGAAGTAAAAATCTAGAACATATTAAAAGATTTTAAAGATTAAATGAAGCATTTTTATTTCTTACTAAATACTTCTCTTTTGAATTGTGTAAGCAGGAGACTGGAACCTACTGAACGACCTCTTCAGATTGTTTATGATTACTTATCCAGGCTGGGATTTGATGACCCTGTGCGTATACAGGAAGAGGCAACAGATCCTGACCTTGGCTGTATGCTTCGATTTTATGGTGGTAAGAGTTTATCAGTGGCTTTGTGAATGTGTTTAACTACTTTTAAGTTGATCATTTGTGCCTCTCCCTGTTGTCAGCTTTTTAAAAGTATTTTAGCAAATGGTGTTTTTAAGCCAGTTAACTAATGTGGTTAAAAAAACAACAAAAACAAGAAGGTGGGGTATAGTTAGGGGAAGACTTAGAAGTATTAGCCAAAATACTTTCCCTTCTTTATTTTTGTTCTTCTTGTTTTTTTTTGACTTACTAGAACCATTTTATCCCTTTGTCACAGAATCTTGATCAAATCATGCTTTAAAGGATCAATTTTACTTTCAGGTTCCTTATAAAAACCATGGAGTTTTGGATAGCTCAAGAATGTTGAGAGCTAGGTGGTCATTAATCATACATGACTTGACATTTGATGAATACATTTGTCAAATCTTTATATTGTTAAATTTAGTGGGCTTGAAATCTAGGATTTTTTAACTTTCCCTTCTCTTTTGGTGCATTTTCCCCCCATCAACTGTTTTTCACCTGATCACTTCAATAATAAAGTTAGACTTACTAAAACTAAATACTTTCTGAATATTGTTTTGCAAATATACATAGTCTACTAATACTACTACTATTGAGTACTATTGATTGTTTACTGTGTGCTTTTATGCTTGTGAATTACCCAGTTTGTTACAACCACCTTATGCCATAGAACTATTATCTTATTTAGCAGATGAGAAAACTGAGAGAAGTTAAACTTGTTCAAGGTCATACAGCTAGTAAGTGACAGAGCCGTTTAACACCTAACAATTTTGAATTAATGTGACCCACTTATCAAACAATTGAACTAAAACTAAATGATTAGTGTATGTAGGCATTTATTGAAATTCCCTGCTCTCGTTCCTTAGATTATTGATTAAATTTCTGTATACTTCTTTTTTTGTTGTTTGTTTATTTATTTATTTATTTTTAAAGATTATTTATTTATTTATTTGACAGAGAGAGACACAGTGAGAGAGGGAACACCAGCAGGGGGAGTGGGAGAGGGAGAAGCAGGCTTCCTGCTGAGCAGGGAGCCCGATGTGGGATTTGATCTCAGGACCCTGGAACCATGACCTGAGCCAAAGGCAGACACTTAACACCTGAGCCACCCAGGCGCCCTGTTGTTGTTTATTTTTAAGTAATCTCTACACCCAGTGTTGGGCTTGAACTTACCACCCGAGATCAAGAGCTCTACTGACTGAGCCAGCCAGGCACCCCTCTGTATACCTCTTGAAAGAACTCTTGTGACACAATGTCACAAGCCAGCTTCATTTAATGCACTTCACGAAAGATTTTATGTTTGATTTTTCATCATAACACTATTTTGTGACATGTTGTTCCTTAAAAGTTGGTTTTGTTTTATTTCCATTGATTTCTCTTCATTGCTAGTTCATGGAAGGAAAATAGTTGCTAGCTTGAAACTAAATAGGAAAATCCATGGGGCGTCTGGGTCCAACTTTTGATTTTGGCTCAGGCCATGATCTCAGGGTTGTGAGATTGAGCCCTGTGTCGGGTTCCATGCTAGGCATGGAGCCTGCTTAGGATTCTCTCTCTCCCTCTGCCCACCACCCCCCCTTAAAAGAAAATTAAATAGGAAAATCCTTTAAGATTAATTTGAGGAGCACTGTCCATTTAAACCTATAAAACTTGGGTTAAAAAAAGAGCAACTTGGAGTGGTAACATGTTCCTTTTGTGATTGTGGTTGAAAATGAGTTCTTCATTATATGTTTTATTCTAAGATGAAAGTTGAGCCTTAAAGTGCCACCGAGCTCCTTTTGAACCACTGAGATTGCATTTGCACTCAGTTGTATATTGCACAGCTGTTGGCCCTGATACATTAATCTTTTGCACCACCTGATAAACATGATAGCATGCCCAGGATCTTCATATACCCTTAAGAAGACATTTCTAGTAGAGTCTAAAAGAGTACGAGTTTGTAGTTCTTACCGTGTTTTTGAGGGGAGGAGGTCTTTAACAGAGAACATTTCCAAAAATGGGCTCTATTAATTTAGAGAAGCTAGTATAATTTGAGTGAGAAAATTATGTTTGGGAAAGAGGTTTTTAAAGCTAATTATTTTTGAAACTAGACAATATGTATATATGGCACCAAAAACAAAAGTAAAAAAAAATATCAATAAATGTATTAATTATCTATTGTCTATGTAATGAATTACCTCAAAACTTAGTATATGGGAGTGTCTGGGTGGCTCAGTTGGTTAGTGTCTGACTCTTGGTTTTGGCTCAGGTCATGATCTCAGGGGTTGTGAGATCACGCCCTGCATCAGGCTCCATGCTCAATGTGGAGTCTGCTTGCGATTCTCTTCCTCTCCCTTTCCTCCTACCCCCACCCGTTCGCTTTTTCTCTCTTTCTCTAAAATAAATAAATAAAATCTTAAAAAAAAGAACAGCTTAGTAACTTATGGGGCGCCTGGCTGGCTCAGTTGGTACAACACGCAGCTCACGTTGGGTGTAGAGATTACTAAAAAACCTAAATAAACTTAAAAACAAACTGTGACTTAAAATAATAATAAATATTTATTGTATAGTTTGTGTGGGTCAGAGATCTAGGAGTAATTTAGTTGGATGGTTCTGGTTTGGCTTGCATGAGATTGTATTCAGTCTGTTGGTTGAAGGTGTAGTCAGTCATACAAAGGCTTGACTGAGTCTGGCAGAATCACTTCTAGCATGGCTGACTCAGATGGCTCTTGGTAGGTCTCAGTTCCTCACCAGCTTTTGACAGAGATCTCAGTTCTTCACTTTAAAAAGACCTCTTTTTAAGGCTGCCTGAGTGTCTTCATGACATGGCTACTAGCTTCTGTCAGTGATGAGACATACAGACGGGCATGTGTACGCACTCGCGTGCGTGCGCGCACACACACACACACACACACACACACGGAGGCCTCAGTGTTTTTTATGACCTAGCCTTATAAGTCACCTACATTTTCACCACTTTCTGTTTAGTAGAAGTGAGCCACCATATACAGCCTACCCTATGGTGAGGGAAATTAGGCCCCACCTTTTGGAGAGAGAACTATCAAAGAATTTGTGGACATATCTTAAAACCAGCACAAAAAGTATGCTTCCCTTTCACATTGCTCCTCCTCATCTCAGTTCCTGAATCCAGAGACAACCACTGTTATCAGAAGGAAAAATATCTGTGAAATATTCTCTTAGAAGCAAATCGCTTAGTAATCAGCTTTAAATATTTTATATGTAGAGTCTTTGGTGAGTTAGCTTAGTTAGAATATAGTGTTAATGAGGCCAGGGTTATAAGGGCCTAAGTTCAAACTAGTTAATGTTGCTGTGCTTGCTGGATCTAAAAGATACCCTGTACGCCAAGCAGCCATCATGCAAATGTTCATTACCAGTGTTGCTACAGAGGGAGTTCTGGGGGAAAAGTGAGTTAGTGGAATGACTGGCTCAGGGCAAATTCATGATAAAAGCTGTGGAAATAACATAATTGACTATAGATGATTAGGTAGCATGATCAATCACAGAGATTAAGAGAGCACATTAATGAACTCTTTATTTGTGTATGAGGAGAAGGAGGAGTCTAGAAGGTGTGATTTACTAGTGAAGTTGTAATTCTGGGGCTCTATGGCTCAGGTAGCATAAGTCCCAGCCTGAGCATTTCTTTCTGTACCATATTCTTTTTTGTTTTCTGTTTTTGTTTTTAAGATTTATTTATTTATTTGGCAGAAAGAAAGAAAGCATGAGCCAGGAGAAGGGCAGAGGGGGAGAGAGAATCCTCAAGCAAACTCCCTGCTGAGCATGGAGCACAGCGCAGGGCTCCATCCCAGGACCCTGAGATCATGACCTGAGCCGAAATCAAGAGCTGGATGTCAACTGACTGAGCCACCCAGGCTCCCCTCTACCATATTCTGTGCACACATTTTTTTTAAGACAGTTTTTTCCAAAGAGCATAAGCAAAACAAATGAAGCCAGGTACAAAAGGATCACATAGTATGTTTCCATTCATTTAAATTTCAAAACCAGGCAAAATTCAGCCATACTGTTTAGAGATGTGTGGCAGTATTGCTATCTGTCCGTCAAAATCTGTTCTTTCCTTCCATAATAATAGAGTTATAGTTGGTGCATGACTGCCCAGGTACGTGTCATTTCCCAGCCTTTTTTGCGGTTAGGTTTGCACACATGTGACATAATTTTCTTCCCTGGTACGGAGTGGAATTGTTGTACCACTTCTGCACCTAGTTCCCTTTTTTTTAAGATTTTATTTATTTATTTGTCAGAGAGAGAGCAGGCAGAGGGAGAAGCAGCTCCCTGCTTAGGGATCGACGTGGGGCTCGATCCCTGGACCCTGGGATCATGACCTGAGCTGAAGGCAGACGCTTAACCGACTGAGCCACCCCAGTGTCCCTCTGCACCTGGTTAGTGCCCTTGTCTTCTTCCGTGGGCTCAGAGCAGTATTGGAAGTCATGTGTTGAAAATGGCAGAGCTGCCATCAGCCTGAGTTTCTTGATAGTGTTGACCTCTGAAAACCCACAAGTGTCTACCCTAACAGAAAATTAAATTTCTGTTGTGTTTGAGCCATATGTTCTTTACGTTGCAGTAGTTTAACCTGCTATAACTGATCTAGGATGCATACATAAGTGGCAAAAATATAAAGAAAGCAAGGAAATGATTATTATAAAAGGAGAGTGGCTGATCTCTAGGGTGGAGGGACAAGGACATGATTCCTACAAATAGGATTTTTGAGTCAGTACCTATATATATATTTTAAATTTTGACAAAATATTCCTAAATTGCACAGGCGATACCGATGTATGCTTTCATCAGTAGCGTTTGAGAATGCTCATTTCCTTGTACCTTTGCCAACATCAGATATTATTGTTAAAGTTAATCTTTGTCCCAGGGCACCTGGGTGGCTCAATTGGTTAAGTGTCTGCCTTCGGATCAGATCATAATCCCAGGGTCCTGGGATCCACCCCCACGTTGGGCTCTCTGCTCAGTGGGGAGCCGGC